AGTGACCGCCCCGCCGCTGCCCACCGTCCTCTGCCACCCGCCCGCCGCCGGGAAGAGCCGCCGGCTCGGGCTCTGAGCGCCGCGCGGGCTGCGCGCGGGGGCCGCGGCCGGGAGGCGGGGACACGTCCGGGCGGCGGCCGACGCAATCTGCCCAGGAAATGGGTGGATTTTTCCTCTCCACTCCGGCTCCCCGCCGCCCCCTGGCTGCTGGCAGCGAGGCCTGCAGAGCCCCGTCACCAAGGAGTAGGGAGGGGGTGGCCCGGGAGGAAAGACAGACCACCCCCTCCCAAGTCGTCAAAATCCGCCCGCGCAGACGGCGGCGTCCCTAGCGCATGGGCTGGCCGCTGCCCTTCCACCCTCAAGGTCGCCGGCCAGCGAGCCCCAGGCAACCCCCTGAGACCCACCCCATCCATGCCCAAGGCCTCCGCCCCGCTGCCGGGGACTTGCTTGGCGGTGGCTCCAGGCTTCCTCCAGCCCGGCAGCCCCCTGAAACCCAGCCAGGAGGGCGAACTCTTGGCGGGCTCCGAAAGCAGCCCCTGGTGGGGGGTCTCCAGCCCCAGTGCTGGGGGAGGGCGCTAGGGGAAAGGCCCTTCTGGGAGCCCGGGACAGCCAGGAGCCCTAAGGCCTTTTCTGGCAGCTGTGGCGCTGCCCAGTGTGGGCTCCTGGGTCCAGGTGGGCATGCAGCAGGGGTGCAGAAGCTGGGTGTGGGTTTGGGGCTCAGGCCTCCGCGCAGGGTTGCTAAAGCGGCCCCACCCGTGGTGAGTGTGGTGCAGGTGCAGCCCTGGTCAGGGGCCTGGGGTCTGTGGCTGGGGGACGGGGGGGTGTCCTCACTGGCTCTCCGGGTGTGTGTGGGGTCCTGATGCCCAGGGAGAGGGGCAGGGCAGGCTGGCACAAGTCCCCAGCCCTCGGCAGCATGGGTGTCAGGACACATGTAAGTCTCCTTGGAAGCACAGGCCTGACTGGGTCAAACATCTTAATAGTGCTTTAGAATTTGCAGAAGGCTTGTAACAGGAGATGAAAGGCACTTCCTCTAGGCCTCCCATTAAGCTTTCCTCTGCTGCGTCCCCCTATGTAGCAGGGACTCAGTTACAGCCAGGATGGTCCTGGCCTGAGCACTGGTGTGAGACCCATGAGCTGAAGGGGCTCCTTTGGTTTGTTATCCTGGTTAATGCACGGATCTGTGGCAGCCTCTGTGTTGGAAGCAGCAAATTTCACCAGTTGGGGAAGGGCGCCATCTCCCAGCTCCAGCGGGTACTGCAGGCTCTGCTCCGCGACCGCGGTGCTCTGAGTCCCGCCAGCTGGGTCTGGGGGTGGGGGCAGCAGTCCCCCACTCTCTGCCTTTCTCCTTCAATGAACGTTTAACACCGATTTAGGGCCGCAAGCTGTGCCGACCCAAATCACTCACACCCGCTTCCCACTGCAGAAGGACATGGACCACTTATTTTGTTGGAACAACTTCAAATCCAATCCAATCCAATCTCCAAAACCTCACGCCGTCCATTGCGGAAGCTGCAGGTATTTACTTATCACCTACTATGTGCAAGATGTGGGGTGCAGTGTGCTGCAGACCCTAGATCAAAACCACGACACGAGGTACAGCCTGCTGTAAACCCCAGGACAGAAGCAACAGCAACGCGATAGATCAGACTCCGGGCATGGTGCGTGAATGAAAACTTCCCTACAACCAACCGAGCACGTGCATTGCCAAGAGAAGCATCTCGGAGTGGACACTCCGTGTACAGACTCTGGGGCCAGACAGCCTGGGTTTGAGCCCTGGTTCTGCCCCTTACTGGTTGTGAGACCCTGGCCGAGGTAATTAGCCCTTCTGTGCCTTGGTTTCCCCATCTGTAAAACGGGTTTAATAATAGCAGGATGTGTAAGGATTCAGTGAGTCAGTGCAGGAGCAGACACGGCAGCCAGTAGGGGTGCCCATCCTCGCCATCCCCGCTTTGCAGAAGACCAGAGGTGCTCCGAGGGGACGCTCAGCTGAGCGACTGGTGCGAGAGCCTGTGACAGAGCTGGGATTCAATGCCCCTGGACACCTCTGCCCCCTCTCCAAAGAGCTGCTTTTGGCTAACGACCACCCACAAGAGATGCTGTTGATACAGACATACAAATGCGGAAGAGGTATTCCTGGACGTGAAAACAGCTCCCAACACCCAGAGCTATGTTCTAGGAAGGTGAGCTCCAATCAAAGCCGATACAGAGAATTCAAATAAACCTCTCCTGATCCTGAAGAACTTCTGATCTGATTTCATGGCAGTGATGTCCCGCGGGATTTACAATGGGTACTCTAAATTAGAAGAGTGCCAGCCTGGCTGGGTTGTTCAGGGGAGGAAATGAAATCCAGGTCATTTACACCCATGAAGCCAAGTCCTGCTCCAAAGACCTGCTGGAGTCTAGACCACCCAAGGGTTGAGGAATGCCTTCAGCTCCCCTGGCCCGGGACTCTCCCAGACTCTCCAGGGGACAGGCAATTACGGCCAGCCTGGAGATCTGAAACCCCCTTATCGTATTTCTCCTGAGCCTGCAGTCCTGATAGGGAGCCTAAAAGGGTATTATGGCATCCCCTGAGGCATGGCTGAGAAGCAGTCTTTTGAAAAGATTTGGGTTATTCACACTGGGCTTGCCAAACGTGGGCTGCACCTTGGAATTCCTACAGCTCCCTGGGAACTAAGCTGACCCCAGGAGGTCAAAGCATGGAGAGGGATGGGAGAAAAAGCTGACTCACACCCCCACCCCCATGCCTTTACATCCTAGTCAGAATTGAATAGATGCACTGTTTTCGCCCCTCCCACCCACCAGCTGACTGCCCGAGGCCCACCCTGGCCTCCTCCCACACCCTCTGCTCCCGCTCTAGAAAGTTCCATGCTCCTTTCATAAATGTTGCCTCAGACTGTCACATCCAGACAATGGGAGGGAGGCCACAGCCCCACCTTGTCTTAGTTGCCCCAACAGAAATGGGGTCCAGTTCGGGAGAGGCACTTTGAAGGACAGGGACAGGAGAGTTCAGCGGGCACCTGCCCTCCGGGCTGAACGCGTGGCTCCTGGGGCCCCACAAACATTACCATTTCCTATTTTCTGGGTAAGGGAACTCATCATAACTAGTGGAGGATGGTCTGGTTTCTACTGAGTAAGTAATTGATCTTGACATGAATTAGAAGGTGGTGTCATTATAAAAACATCTAAGAGTCAGCTCTGGGGTCCAGCTGCGTTAGGGTTAGGAAACACCCCAGAATGTAACACTTGCTCAGAGCAGAGGACTTGGTGCTGCCGGATTTTAGAGGCTTCCACACGTGGCCACTCCCCGGAGCACACACTCCGCCCTCAACACATCACCAGCATCTCAGACCAGCGAGGACCCTCTGCCTGTGGACCCCAGACGTGGCCTCAGAAACCTCAGCCCCTCTACCAACGGTTGGTGTTGACTCTGGAGCAATCCCTCGAGTTGCTTATGGGGTGACTCAACCAATGCCCTCTCCCCAGAGGCCACGCACCACTGATTCCACCTGTGCAGAGTCACCTTGATAAGATTTGGGGGCTGGACTGCCTGGGTGGGGCACAGGCACCCACCCATCGGAGAGCAGAAGTGTTTACGATCCCGAGAGCTCTCCTTTGAGTCCCGCTATGCTGTCAGATTTACAAGCAGCATCCTGGAGTGATAAGTAAAGTTATTTGTAATATTTATGAATACGCCTCTGTTCTGTCTTTGACCCTCACACCCCCGAAGCACCACTTGAAGCAAGTGGGAGTGACTTTCCTTCCAGAGCCGCCCGTGAGAGCCATGTGCACCCTGGGGACATCTGTGCTGGGAGGTTTAAGCTCCTGGAGGGTGTCCTGTGTGTTCACTACACTGTTGCAAGGAACCGAACTGCCCTAGATGAGCGTCTCCAGGTGAGGGCTCCTGAAGAGGCAAAGCCTGGGGCTTCGGCATCTTCCACCCCTTCTCTCCGCTGGACTATTCAATCCACACTCTTCCCAGTCACTCGCCCTCTTACTGACCAACCGATTTTAAATGCCATCGAACCGTACCTCAGAGACACCCAGGCCAGGTCCCCACTGCCCAGACTAGAGCGAGGAGACGGGGAAGCCCATGTCTTCTAAACACCGCTCGAGAGTGAGGGAGCCACTGTTGCCCACTGTCACCTACGTGTTCGTTGTGGGACTTAACCTGGGTGCAGAAGAAGGGGAGACCCTTTGAGCAAGGAGGAGCCTTCTTCGCTGCGGCTGCCCCATAATTACAAATTACACCAAATGTAACAAACAGCGTAACCAGGACCGCAGGCGTGTGGGGCGATTTGGAGATTTAGATGTTACATCAGCTAAGAGGGTCTGTGTCTTTTTTCTTAATTCCTGGATCCCAGTCGTCAGGCAGATGCTGGGAGATTTGAGGGGTGTGGGGCTCCCTGCATGAACCTTTAGGCTGGAGAGAACCGAGGCGGGGCACCCAGTGCACCCTCGAAGGCGCCCTCCACCCCCTGGGGTGAAAGGGCTTGTCTGGTTCACCCAGCCTCAGTGGCAGGAAGCAGACCACCCCCAAGGGGTCTGAAACACCCACTCCCCCGCAGGCTCTTCCCTTTTGAAAAGCCAAGCTCCAAGTTCAGAGCAGGCCGAGCAACGGGCCACACAGTTAGAGACACGGCTCTCAAACCCTCTTCCAAAGGCCCTATGAGCTGCCGTGATGGCACCAGGTGCCCCCTTTCTTACTGGTTCTCAGTGGGGTTGAGCCGTTTCTCTACTTTTTATTCTTCTCTCTCCATCTTAACAAGAACATGAACTCGGGTGTCAGACAGACCGTGGAGCTGCATCTGGGGTCTGTCACCTACCTGCTGGGCCACTGGGCAGGTTACTGACCACCCGCGCCCCCCTCTGCCCCTTGAGCCTTGGTTTCCTCATTTCGAGACCGAGGACGACAACACAGGGTCACTGGGGCGGCTTCTACCCGACCCAGATTAAGCTCCTGGTGTGTGTGTGGGGGGGATGTCTGACACTTGATGACACTCCAAAAATATTAACCCTCGTGACTGGTTTTCTCCCCAGTGCTTTAAGCTCCTGGCCAGTTTCTGATATGTAATAATCTGAAAAAATGAAGAGATGTGGATTTTCCTGTTCCATTTTCTCCCCCCTTACCTGAGCCATGGGAATGACCTCACGGCTGCTGCTTCCGGCGGGGGAGAGCATCTACAGGGCACCTCTCAGAGCCGAGAAGCGGCTCCTGTCCCCAGCAGCACCAGTCACAGCTGGCGTGTGTCTGATTCAGTTTAGCCAGTAATTAGCTTTGGATTACTTTACATGGGATGTTAAGTATTGATTACAGGGCCCAATAACTTTAGTAATAAATACAACCCAAGGCAGAAAATTACCTTCCTTTTTAGTGCGGAGAGCTAAAGTGCGTGGGACAAGGGGCAGATTGCTTCCGGAGATGAAGCGGCCGCCTGGTGCTGAGGAGTTACAGCTCCCGCCCCCCCGCTGCTGGTACAGAGCCTTCTCCCTGGAAACGGGAGCAACTCTCTCGTGCGGGCTGTTTGCGTGTCTGGAGATGGTCTCTGGCCAGCCCCCGAGGCAGCGGCCAACCTCAGTGCAAAGACGGGATCAATCCCATGCATGCTGAACTAACTGGTTTAGGAAAAGACCCCCATGATCCTGAACCCCCCAACTCCCTGGACCACTGACACCCCAGCATCCAGGGCACACGTGGGCCTAAAATCTGGGGGACACGAGGGGCTGGGGCACATGAACAGGACGTCAGCGGGATCATTGGGCCAAAGTTTTGATTCAAGCAGGTGACAAAATTCATGCTTCCGTCTGAATGGACGGTTTTATTCTTGTTCAATTTGTTCAGGGTGATGGGTTGGGGTCTTCCACTCTGGCTGAATCTGAGGAGGAGCGAACAGATTTTCAGTGATGGGATTCTGAGGGGCTAACTCCACACCAGCCCCTCCGTGACACCTGCCTGTCCAGACACAGCACCCATCACCCACCCTCACCTGCCCGCCGCCGAGTCCACTCACATCTCTTCTCAGGTGCTGAGACCTGCACACAGCTAACCAAGCTCCAGAAGAGCCCACAGCAGTCGGCCCGTAAAGCCTGAGGTCACTCGACAGCCCCGGTGCCGCGGCGTCTGTGTGCAGCCCCGCTGCTGCCCACCTGTTCCTTCCCATCTTCCTGCCCCGGCTCACCCAGGTGCAACCTTGGACCCCGCGCAAATGGCACCCCTCCTCCAAAGCGTTCTCAGCTCCCTCCACTCTGACCCCAGAGTCCTCATGCCTCTTAAACAAATAGATATGGCAGAGCCTTAGATCTCCCCACTAAGCACCATGGCCCGGGTGACAGACAGTTGCGCTCAGCATCGCTAGCCCAGCTTTGACCGAGTCAAGCCCGACCGGCTGGCGTCTGAGAGCTGCATGTGGCAGGAGAGGGGGACAGAACCATCTTCGAGCATCAGCTAGCTTCATCCTCCTTGTTTTAAAATGGTAGACGTTCAGGCTGAAGCTCAGAGCCTTTCTCATGGCAACCAGACAGTGGCTGGTGGGACGGGGAAGGGGAAGGGCAGCCGGGTCCAAGGTCATTGTCACAGAGCTGCCCACCCCTTTCATGCCATCACACACGGGGGATGACGTGCTTCTCTCAAGGGAAGGCGAGCTGGGCTGGGGTGGGCGGGGCTCAGGCAGCCCCAGCGCTGCCCCCCCCCCCCAAGATGAGCGGTCAACTCCGAGGACACTTCTCAAGGAGCTTGAAACACCAGCCTTTTATTGAAAATCACAGAACAAGACCCAGTCAAGCATCTTTCCACCTGAGGACAGAGTTCATCTGGGCCCACAAACCTGGCGCGTAGTAGGCCGTCCATCACTAGTTGGCATTTGACTGAGTGGCTCATAAGCATGCTGTCGGGAGAACAGATGGCCCGGCCATGTGCTCTACACTCCCCCCCTCCCCCCGCCCGTCTGCCTGAATCCTTCGAGCAGCGCCTGTGAAGCGCAGGTAAAACCCATACGTTTCTGACTTGTTCCCATCTGGACGGGTCCTAATCCATAAACATGGTGGCCCTGGAACCTTGTGTCCACGTCCCTTGGAAGGGCCCTAAGACTGAGGGTGCCGCTGTGGGAGCAATTTACCTAAACTGGAAGAGGGAAAGGGTGGAGGGGAGACAGACACAGCTCAGTCACCGCTGCTCTGCTCGCCTTTTCCTGAAGCCCAGAGGTATTGTGCTCATCGCCCATGTAGGCAGCATTTCTCCTGACACCATGCAATGTGGCTTCCTCGGATCGAATTACTTCGGGATCAAGAAAGCAAGGTTCTTAGGTAGGGGTGTCCCCAAGGAGCTCTCAGATTATTCAGAGCAGCCCAGCCCTGGACCCACACCCACTCCCAATTCCAGTCCCTGCCTTAGAGGTGACTGGTAAAGGTGAGAGGCACCTGGCCTGACCCCGAAGAAGCCCACCTGGGCAGGACCGGGGTAGCCGGGATCCCTGGAGCTGGTGGCTGAGCCAGCCACTCTCTGACCCCTTCACAGATTTGAGCTGGCTGGAGAGATTTTCGCCAGGTGAGCCTTTGCTCCAAAATCCCACCACAATTAGGGATACTGGGCTCCCGATGGAAGATTCTGAAAGCACAGCCTCAGAGGCAGGCGCGGGGAGGGCAGGGCCTGCCTCCGGGCTGTGTTGAGGAAGGCATTTCCCTGAGAGATGCCACAGCTCAGCTTCAGAAAGAGGAGCCTTCCAAAGAAAACATCGTTTGCCTTCCTGGCCCCTGGAGGGCCTGGGCTCGGGGAGCTGACCAGGGTCCTGAACGGGATGGTGTGGGTGCAGCCAGCGTGGGCAGGGGCGGGCCACATTCAGATGGCTGGCGCCGCCAGCGTGGACAGGCGGGAGCTCTCACCACCGAGACAAAGCTTCCAATTGAAGCTGAACCAAAAGTTTCTTCCAAGACCGGGGGATCTTTAAAAAGACTGAGAAGTGAACCTCTGGAGGGGGGCGGGGAACGAGGGCTCAGGGAGCCTGCAGGTGAGGGGGCCAGTAGGGCTTGGAGGGCCCAAGGGCAGCCACTTCCAGGGCCACCCAGACCAGCCATCTCTTTCCCGAGATGTCTAAGTAAGGCACACGCTGCCTGGCTCCATGTCTGTGGGGTGCGCGCTTGTGGAAGAGTGTGTGTGAGTGTGTGTGTGCACATGCATACATACGGTGTCCATTCACAGAGCACGAGTGTGCCCCTTGGCCAGGCCTTCCCTGCAGCCAAGAAAACTTCACTCCCAGAGACCATGCAGAACCTCTCCAGGGGGCCTGGCTGGTTGTCTGCCTGGCACCAGCAGGGTCTCCGAGGTTAGGTGGGACAATAAACCCTTCCCATGCTGGGGCAGAGGCTGCACTTCCCGGGAGAGCTAGGGAGCCGGCAAGGGCTTCAAGGCAAAACGGGAAGCTTATTCCAGAGCCTTCTCTCCTGTGATCTACCTCTCACCCTCTCGTCTCTCCTTTGTTTCCTCTTTTATTCTGAGAGGGAGGGAGGCACGGAGGGAGAGAGGGAAGGAGGGTCGGGGCAGCTGCTCTTGGGGCCAAGGTGCTGGCAGCCCATCCACTTCCTGGACTTGCAGCCTCTCCCAGCTCAGACCGTGGCACAGTGGCACCATCCAAAGGGCATTTTAATGTCACTCTGAGCAGCCTGGCTCCCGAAGCTGGCAGGCTCTTCCCAGCACCCTGGTGCCAAAGCAACACCTCCAGTCCGGCGCTCCCAGACAGCCCTTCTCCTCCCAGACGTGCCAGCTCCGAAACGCATTTTTAAAATGGAGAATACTAGCCGGAGACAGGCTCTCTAACAGTACATTGTTCAGGGATGGCGAGCCCACTTAAAATGCCCAGCGGTCCCCACACACGCTTGCCACTCACACTTCATGCCGCGAATGTGGCCACAACCGCCCCCCAACCCTCCACATGGAGCCCACAAAGCACCCCAGCCCCAGACACGCCGCCTGCCCTCCCCGGTCTGGTCTCCGCGGCACCATTCCCACCGCCAGCCCAGGGAGCCCCAAGGGCAGCATTATAGCCAATGCAGGATGCTCCAGAAGAGGGATGCAGGGGGTGGGAGTTAGGTCAGATCCACCTCTGAAAATGCCAGGGGCTTGGACATCCTGCCCTGTCTTCCTCCCAGGTGACAGTAGCAGCCAAATGGCGACCCCCACCCCCAATGCTGCCCTTTGAACTTCTCAGCAGGGAGTGGTCAGCCCGGGAGTCCAGGAGGGAGGGTTCAGGGCTGAGGGTCCTGGGGGACACGGCAGCACTCTCGGGTCAGCCTTCACCCCTTCCTCCACCCCAGGTGCGGCTGGCACTCTGGCCCTCTCCCCAAGCCCTTGGCTGGGCGCCCGGGCAGGGGTGCCGGGCCGCGCGGTAGCTGCTCCCCGACTTTGCCGGGCTCCCCGGGGCCGGGCGGGCGCCTCGCAGGCAGGGAGGAAAATGGCGTCGCATGCACGTACTTGAGTGAGTTCCGTGCCCATGAGGATGAGGAAGAGGAGGCTGAGGAGGTTCCGGGCCGGTCGCATGTCTCGCGAACACCTCCCACGTCCTGGCGTGCGGGGAGCCCTGGGCGGCCGGCGACTGCGTGGACGCGGACGCGCTCCCGGCTCTGCTGGCTCCGCGGCGGCGCCCGGCGGTGTCCCCGCGCCTTCAGCACCCGGAGCAGGCGGCGCGCGGGGTCTGCTGCGCGGAGCCTCTGCTCTGCATCTCGAGCGCGTCGAGCGGCTCCGCGGTCGCCCTGCTGGGCGTGCGGCGGCGGCGGCGGCGGGCGGCGGGCTGCGGGCGGGCCGCCCCTAGGCCCCTCCTCGGCCCCTCCTCCTAGCGGCCCCGTGCCCGCAAAGCTGGGGCGAGCAGCTGGGCGGCCCGGGTGCCAAAAGTTTGCTGGGGAAAGGGAGGGGCGGGGGGGGCGCAGAGGGCCCCGCGCGCCACGCTCACGCGCGGGAGTGGGGAGGGCGGCGGCGGGGAAGCAGACCGGGACAGGATGTGACATCAAAAAGGCGGGGGAAATTTAATCGGAGAGAAAACTCCACCCTGGCTGGCCGCGGCGGCGGCGGCGGCGCTCCAGGGCCCTGGCAGCTGGGATGGGGACGCAGGCGGACGGCGCTGGAGACCCGGGCCCCCCTGGACTCAACGAGTGGACGCGGAGTGGGGATGGGGAATGGCAGCTGCGGGAGGTGACCTTAGAGGCCACCCTTTAATGAGATAAACTGAGGCTGAGACCCAGGAAGGATGATTGGCGGTGGGCGGGGGGGGGGTTAAAGGGGGGTGTTCAGAGCTAGAAAGTGGGTCATCTGGCACTGACAGGTCTCCTTCTTCTCCTTCTGCGGTGGCTAGCAGAGGGCGAAGAGGGAACAGACATTGCGTGCTGGGGGTTCTGTCCCCAGGTGGGGCGTGTGCGTGAAGGTCTGTCCTTGTTTTCACGGTTCGCGTGCATACATGGAGGTGGGCACGCACAGGCCCGTGGGTCTGCCCTGGGGTGTGTGCACATGGGTTCAGATGGAAGCCAGACACAACTCTGCATACCCAAGATGCCTTCGCTGACCAGGTGCCTAGGAGAGTGCGGTGGGCTTCCAGACCACCGAGCCCTGCCCGTTGTTGTACCCCCAGGCCTGGAGATCACCCTCCAGCTGGTGAGATGTGCTTTCTCCCTTCCCCCCTCAGGTCCACGTCTTAGACCCCAGGGAGCTTATCCTGGGGGCCACATTTTCCATTTAAATCCCCCGTTTGGGGGGAGAAGTCCCTAAACACCTCTGTTTTCTGAGAAGCTAAGACGGCAATAGGTATTTAGAAGCACCTTTCTTATCTCTTTTCCAGTGTTTAGCGTTTACTCTTTGGAAAATAAACTCTATAAAAGAAATATCTAGCAACAAGAGGCTCCAGACCTGATAATTACAAAATGCAGAGCAGCCGGGGGTGATGTGGCCCAGCCCTCTTACATCACAGATGGGGAAGCGGGAGCCTGGGGGCATAACTCACATGGGGTCACCAGAACAGGCGATCTCAGAGCAAGGATGGGATGCCAACTCCTGCCCTGTCAGCGTCCACCCTGGCCTTGAGGGGGCTCTGCCTTGAAGGAATTCTGTCCTCTGAGCCAGGGGACAGAGTTACAACCAGGGAAGCCTGGTTGGACTTTCTGGTCCAGGGATGGCCTTTCTGGTAAGGAGTGAGCTTCCCAGCCCTGGAGGTGTATAAGCAGAGAGAGTTCCTGTGGGATGCCCCCAGACTGAGTGGACCCTGTGGGTCTGAGATGAGATGGGAGGAAAGGCGAGGTACAGCTGTGGGGGGCTCTTTTCTCTCTGCCCTTCCTCTGTCTGATTTACCTGCGTGTTCTCCTTCTCCTCAGTGAGAGAAAGCTGTTTGTCAGCCCCATGGCCTCTGGGCTTCTGGTGACCCATGAGAGACGCTGCATTTGGAGCTGGAGGGGCTGGTGCCTGGTCCTGGCCCTTCCTGGGAGTGGCTCTCTGAGCCTCATTTCCACTCCTGTAGAATGGGGTTGAATGATGCGGTGCTGCATGTCTCACAGGCTGTTGACAAGATCAAGGGCAGGAATGGGTAAAAGTGTTTTATAAGCCTGAAAGAAGGATGAGGAAGGAGCTGACTGAGCCTTGCAGCGCCCCAGACTCCACCCAGTCTCTCCCTCAGCAGCTCCAGGGGCGCAGAAAGGGACAGAGGCTCAGGAGCGTGGGCGGCATGGTCACGGAGATGGGATGTGACCCAGTCTTGGGATTATGTTTTATGGACGGGGGAGGAAGGCTGTGTTGATTTCCTCAGGTGGGCTGAGAGCTAAGATGTAAGAGTAGCAAGAATTGCTTTTTGTTTTAAAAATCATACAACTACAGCAAGTCCCCTACATACGAACGAGTTCCGTTCCCAGAGTGCATTTGTAAGTCTAATTTGTTTATAAGTCCAACAAAGTTAGCCTAGGTCCCCAACTAACACAATCGGCTAGATAGTACTGTACTGTAATAGGTTTATAATACTTTTCACACAAACAATACATAACAAACAAACACAAAGAATAAAGGAAACATTTTTAATCTTACAGTCCCTTGAAAAGTCCAGTACTACAGTACAACAGCTGACATCCAGGGGCTGGCATCGAGGGAGCAGGCAAGAAGAATTACTGACCGGAGGGGGGGAGAGGAGGTGGGAGATGGTAGAGCTGAAGGATCGACAGCAATAGAAGATGGAGGGCAAGCTGCGGTTTCACTCACGCCTGACGTTGATGGAATGCACGTTCGCGTCTTTGAAAGTTCGTAACTTGAAGGTTCGTATGTAGGGGACTGACTGTATGGGAAGCAGTAATTCCATGTCTGGGCAGATACCCAAAGGAGTTGACAGCGGATTCTCACAGAAATATTTGCACACCCATGCTCATAGCAGCGTTACCCACAACAGCAAAGAAATGGAAGCCCGTGTCTGTTGATAGATGAATGAATAAACAAAATGTAGTATTTATAGAATGGAATATTATTCAGCCTTAAAAAGGAAGAGGATTCTGACACAGGCTTCAAGGATAAACCTTGAGGACATTACACTGTGTAAAATGAGTCAGTCCCGAAAGGACAAGTGTTGTATCATTCCACGTACATGAGGTATCTAGAATAGGCAAATTTCAGTTCGACAGATCTGAAAGTCGATTAGAAGTTACCAGGGACCGAGGGAGGGGAGGATGGATAGGGAGTAATTACCTGATGGTACAGAATTTCTGTTTGGGGTGGTGAAAAATTTGGAAATAGCAGTGACATTTGCACAAGATGGGAAATGTCATTAATGCCACTGAATTATACTTAAAAATTTACTAAGTATATTTATATATTTTACTATATTTAATTTTTACCACAATTAAAATAATAATGTGATATACCAAAAGCATTGAATTGTATACTTTACGTGGGTGAATTGTATGGTCCGTGAATTATATCTTAAGAAAGTTGTTTTAAACAGTTACACAGACTCATGATTTTACTGCTTTAAAAATTAACATACAGGGGCTTCCCTGGTGGCGCAGTGGTTGAGAGTCCGCCTGCCGATGCAGGGGACACGGGCTCATGCCCCGGTCCGGGAAGATCCCACATGCCGCGGAGCGGCTGGGCCCGTGAGCCATGGCCGCTGAGCCTGCGTGTCCGGAGCCTATGCTCCGCAACGGGAGAGGCCACAACAGTGAGAGGCCCACGTACCGGAAAAAAAAAAAATTAACATACAGGGGCTTCCCTGGTGGCGCAGTGGTTGAGAGTCCGCCTGCCGATGCAGGGGACACGGG